GCAGATCATTGTGGCCTGTCTATATTTCCCTTCTCTCCCCACATCCCATGTACTCTGGCTGTGTTTGCTATCTGCTCAAAGGCTGGGGTTCAGGATGGTGGAGGGAATCACTACCCCCAGGAGGGCAAGTCTATGATGATGCCATCTTTCAGATGTCCAGGATCCATATCTGATATGTGGAGTGTTCTGAGATTCTCCCCAATCTCCCTGGAATGTGCTTGAGAGCCACATATGTAACAATGGAAAACATTAAACCATTGAATTTAACAAACATTTTAGGACCTGTTGTATAAAGAACACTGTGTAAGTCCCTGGTGTGAAAGTCAATCGATAAGACTGTGTTCTTGCCTTCTTCAAGGCTTGCTGTCTTGTGGAGGTGTAACTCATTAACTTCGATTACCATAACCCAAAATATTACTTGATAAGTAGCATTAGAGACTTGCAAAGTCTACTGCTGTGCTCGAAGTGCAGGGCATCCAGGAAGGCTTAAGGAGATGTTATTTTCCAGGTCTATAGGAGATTAGAGACGAAGGAATGTTAAAGACCATCTAGTCCATGTCTGAACCCAGAGTTTAGTATAGGAAATGCATAATAAATTATGTTAAAATTTGGATTTATTAATAGGGCAAATAAAATATACTACTTCATGTGACATGAATGTAGGCTATTGTGGTCAGTGTGACAGTTAGAAAGAATGCAGAACAAGGAGTTAGGAGGAACATGGGTTGAATCTCACTCTGACACTTACTGGCTGTGTGACCAGTAGGCAAATAATCCAAACTCTCTCGGCCTTGGTTTTCTCATCCTCAAAATAAGGATAATAACAACTATAGTACCTACAAGGTTGTTGAGTGGATCAGATGAAACAATTTACATGCAGGACTTTTTAACCCTCAAAACTCCATATAAATGTTAGCTATCATTAAGTTCATAGTGATATGTATGTCATTAGTATGATAGATACACATATACTGATATATATATATATACATGTTTAATGTTTTATATATATAGATATACTACTATGAACATAATAATTTTTATCTAATTTACCATTTTCTAGAAATATTGTCCTTCTTGATAGGATTAGAATATGGTTCTACTGCATATTCCATTATTTTTTCATTGGCTAGTGTATCAACAATACACCGTAATGCCATGGTTTCAGAGGGAAGGTTAATGTGATGTTAGATATCTAGCAAAATTCAAAGATATATTCTGATGTAACTGAAATAGTTAGTTCTGTTCTCATTATCTCTATGTAACTTTAGCTGTCTGTGCTTTGTAGGGTTGGGTTTTTTCTCGTTTTTCAAAAGGGAGACCCTTTCATATTCCCACCCCCCCTTAGAAATAAATCACTTAGATTATTTGTAAAATGCTTTATACTCATGGTCAGTGTTGAGTAGCTGTTTTTTCAGAATTCAGAGAGGGGTCACACAGCAAGGCAGTGGCAGACTTGTGGTTCTTTTCCTTCTTTTGGATTCTAAACTAACTGTGCCCTTGACTGAATCGTATCATTCCCTTTGCCAAGGAAATCTATTGCTTAAAAAAAAAATGACTCAAGAAAGGCACTTATTCCCACCACATTGTCCTCTATAGGGCTGAATGTAATTGTTTCACAGATTTCTAGCAATGTTATTGTTGTGGGAACAGTAAATCGTTCCTTACCATAGGACCATAATGGTCATTCTGTTGGGATTAGGAACTCAACAAGTTGCTAGTTTTAGGAGAGCCCTATTTGTGACTCTTTAAAGGACTATTCGATCAACTTTTAAAATTTCATTTTTTTTTATTTTTTAATTTTTAAAGACCTTTTCTGTTATTTCTAACCTAAATCCTCCTGAAGACAAATCTTAGTTCTTCTGGATCAATAATATTACAAAGATGACTTCTTTGTAATCTAACTGTTCATACCACTAAATACTGTTGTTAAATTACTGCTTCAGCCTTCTCTTTTTGTGCCCATACAATTCCAATTCCTTTCATATGTTTCCACATAGATTGGACAGATGATCTTCTCCCACACCCTAATTGCCTGAAACCTTTGCAACTGTCCCTATCTTATACCTAAGTGGAACCCAGAGATGAGCACAATTGGGAAATTGCTTTTTATCTGTGTTATGTCAGATATCTAAATATTTCCCAAGCTAAGTGTTTGAGAAATATTTCTAGGGCCCAGACCATTTCAGAGGCATGTAACAGCTAATTTTTCTGCTGTTTCTCTGTCCTGGGTCTAAATTAGAAAAAAAGAAATTAAGATCCAATTCAAGACTCTAAATCTCTTATCAGGATAAAGCCAATCGTGTCTGGCTCCATTAAATTTTTTGGAAGGGGCTTAGTGATAGGAAGAATAAGATGAAGGAGTAAAAGGAATGGGAAGTGTATGCCATTTAAAATTCCAATTATTTTCTTGTATTTTCATTGTAATGAAAAAATTTCTTTATGATTTCTACATGCTATATTCTTTATTCATACTAGCTCCATTTCTTCTCTAACAGCACTAACACATTTCAAATTTATGTTAAACTTTTTTTTTCCTGACTCTGTTGTTGACTAGAAGCCTTTGACCAGTGTGGAGAACCATTTTCCTACCAATTATGCATGTATCTGACAGTGTCAGCTTTCTGGTTCACTTTCATTTAGTGCGCTTGCATGCCATTTGATTCTAATTAACAGACATTTATTAAGTCCCCGCTGTATGCAGGGTACTATGATAAAGACTGAGGAAATAACATTGTTTAAATAAAATACACTCCTTGCCTTCATGGAATTACAGTCTAGCAAAGATAGAAAAATAAAAAACAGATAAACATAATATACAACATTACATGATAAACTCATTATAGGAAGACGAAATAAAGTGCTGTGTGAAGTCCAAGGGAGAAGGCTGTTATAGGCAGGAGATAAGGGAAAGCTTCATGGAGAAGATGACATTTCAGTTGGGTCTTGAAAGACTGACAGGAATTTAACAGCAAAGAAGAGAGAAATACAAGGCAAATGGAGCCTAAAAATAACAGGAGTCAAAAAGTTCAGCACGGAGAACAGAAAGTGGTCTAGTTTAGCTAGAACGTAGCATGTGTGGAGGAGAATAAAAGGAGGCTGGAAAAATAAGATGTAGCTAGACTGTGGAAGAGCTAGAATACTAGACAAAGAAGTTTGAACTTGCCTCACTAAGCAGATAGGGTGGCTTGACAAAATCTATATATATGAAGATGATGCTGTCTATGGCATGAAGGAAAGATGAAAGGCCAGGAAAGGAGATGGGAAGATCTGCTAGAATGGAATTGATGGGTCTTGTTAACTGGATAGAAGAAAGCAGAGAGGTAGTCAAAGGTAAATAGTACCAATAATTTGAATATAGGAGACAAGGAAAATTATTATGTTAGTGACAGGAAACAAATGAGGTCAAAAGCAGGAGCAGGTTCGGGAAGAAAGGTTGATTTGAGACATGTTTAGTTTGAGTTGCCGGTGGTTCATCTAGTAGTGGTCAAGAAAGACATCATAATTTCCAGGATGGAAATTATAGTTTTAAGAGTTATTTCCCTAGAGGAGGTGGGTAAAGCCATGGGGAGTGAATGAATGTCAGGAAAGAGAGAGAGAAGGGCTAAAGATAGGACCTGGAAGAATACCTTAAGGACTCATAAAAAGTCTAAAAGAATGGAGAGCTAGTAAAGGGGACTGAGTTGGAGAATTTAGAGAGGTTAGGGGAGAGTGGGAGGGGAGAGTATCTAACAGAAGGGAGTTACAGTGTCTAATGCGGCAGAGAGGCTCAGTAGAATCAGAGCTTGAGGAGAAGTGGAGTAAGGAAGCCATTGGAAGTGTTGAAATACAGTAGCTATTTCCATACTGCAGTAAGAATGCAAGCCAAATTGCAAAGAATTAGTAAAGCGTGGGATGAGGAAGCAGATGTATCAATGTGGACAGCTTCAAATCATTAAGCAATGATGGAGAGACAGGTGGCAGAGGAGCTAATTCAAAAATAGAATGCTCAGAAGAAGGCTTTCTTAGGGTCTGGGAGACCATAGCATGTTTGTAGGCAACGAAGAGGAAGAGATTGAAGATGCCTGGAAGACAGAGGATGACTGTGGGAGAAAGGTCTTGGAGACAGGTTAGAGGGAACAGGATTAAAGGCATAGGTCACAGGATTAGCCTCAGCTTGCTGTTAAGGATATCACTGTTGCTGTGGCAGAGGGAAGGAGGAATGAGTAGGTGATGGTTCTGACTAGTTTTAGGCATGGAAGAAGAGTGAAGGTACTCCTGTTGGGAACTCCATAAATGCAAGATGCCATTGGAAGAGCAATTTGCAAATCTCTAATTGATGAAAGAGATGGAAATGGTGGTGCAGGGGGTTTCTAATGACTCTTGCCTAAACCATTCCCCTTACTAGATCTTTCCATATCCACCACCACTAAGAGCTGTACCTCCCACCCACTACCAGTCACACACTGGCAGATTGCCACTGAGCATAGAATGGGGCTTGAGAGTGAACACAAGATTTGCCAACTCATGTAGGAAAGAATCACAAACCTTGCTAAAGTCAAAATAAATTACTTCCTTCCTTGCTGTACCAAGTCTATCAGGAGGAAGTTTAATTAATTCAGTAAGACCTAGTCTTCATAAAGACAAGACTTTTTTCTTAGACAATCCTCTCTTTTATTCTATATGGACAAATTGACCTTTTTTTCCTTACTCTATTACTCTTCATGATATATATTAAATTGACAAATTGTTTAATTTCTACCTCACCATTTTTCATTAATTTAAAAATAGAAACCATTTCAATTTTCAAATCACAACTGATCCTTTTTTTAATCTCCTATGATCATTTGCTGTCTAATAATTTTGATTTAATTGGTGTTCTTGCTATGATGATAAAATTCTCAAGACTTCCATTAACCCAAGTTTAGCACTATGCGAAAAATCTTCCATTTAAAAATGATTCTGTTTCTGCTATTCTGCACATTTGTTCTGAAAATGTTTACATTACACTTCACCCAAAGGTTGTTAAGCTGAAGCAGATTGAGCATACTTTGAATGAGAAAAGGATCCTGCAGGCTGTGAATTTCCCTTTCCTGGTCAAGCTGGAATATGCTTTCAAGGTAAGTTTTGCTTAAAGTAAAATTAAATTAAATTAAATTAAAATTTTAAAAATTTCAATAAAAAGAGAATATAAAGTAACAAGAGTTGTACATATTTAAAACCTCTCGTGTTTATAACCTTATACGGCATTTGAAAATTTTCCAGGTTATCTCCTGATAGATTAGGCAACCTGACATCTATACTTATTTGTGAAATGCTTTTATGAAATCGAATATTTGAATTTATCAAAAGCCATGGTGACATCTAGCAAAATATAGTCCTTAGATTCATGCAGATGTATATATCTACCTACCATTTTTCTGATTCCATTTAATCCCTTCTGGTACTTCTTACTCAGTCACCTAACTTCTAGCTTTTTAATTTTTAAGTATGAGGTACTATAGGTCTCTCTGCTATTTTGCCTCTTACAAAATAGTTCTCTTTATCCCCTGAAAAGCAAGTGAAGGGGAAAAATGATCCCTTTCTCTTGTCTTGTACCATAGGTAAAAAAAAAAAAAAAATTCTTTAGTACCTGTTTTCAGGGATATTTTGACTTAATTTTCTTGATCTTTCCCACATATACATGCTACCATGCAATCATATTTGGAGGCTATGTAGGATACCCTTAAGTCAAGTTCGGCCTATGGATACTGGGAGTTGAGGAAAACCAGGATGGATTTATGACAGTTCCCAGAAGAAAGTGGTTGAGTGCCCCAATGTTGGGAGCCTGGAGGACTTCGGTGCAGCACTCTGTTCCCACATTATTAACCTGTCAAGTAGATTGTAAAAGTGTTCTTTCCTAATGGAAAACAGTATAACCTAAAAATATTTTTCAAGAAACAACTTAAGTTGAGTAGTTTTTTAATATTACTTAAATTCTTTTCACTTACTCACAGGATAATTCTAACCTGTACATGGTTATGGAATATGTGCCCGGTGGGGAGATGTTTTCCCACCTGAGAAAAATTGGCCGATTCAGGTAATACAGGTCTTTCCTCCACCTTAAACTTTAAGTACTAGAGTATATTTCTATTTGTTTTTAACTCTCAAATTTTGGAGAACCCTCAATATCCTAAATACATGTTAATTGGATTAAATAAGTTGAGATTACTTAAATAATGCAGTAGAAGCATACATAATAAGGCATAATGTAATAAATACATGCATTTATTAATTCAAATAAAATAGCTGTCTTCTTGCAGTGCTGGCAGTGAGTAACCATAGTTTTGAAGAGATCTCACAAAAGCAAATTTGGCTAAATTCAGGAGTACTTGTTTACCAGAAGAGGAACAATATGGCACTCCGTGTATATAACCTGTCCTCATATTTACTACTTTGGGCTCACTTTAATTCAACCCACTACATGCAAGTATTCTTGAAATGCAACAAAAGGAATTCAAAGTGGACCAACTGAGTATACTTTTGATGAGCTTAGAATGGGTTAGCAACTCATGGCAAGTACATCAAAAGCACCATCTAAGCATGTATTTCAGTGACAAAGGAGCAGGCGGGACGACCACTATCATCAGCTTTTCAGCCCAAATGAAACCCTATCGTTCAGGAATTTTTATAAATATTAACTGTGTCCATTGAATTGAATCATCTCAATAGATATGTATATATTTACGGAATCCATCATGTTTTCATTCCTTTCAGCGAGCCCCATGCCCGCTTCTACGCCTCCCAGATTGTCCTGACTTTTGAGTATCTTCATGCTCTTGACCTGGTCTACCGTGACCTGAAGCCTGAAAACCTTCTGATTGACAAATATGGATACATCCTGGTATGAATTAATCAAATTAACATAGAAACTATTTTCATTCATTCAGAAAGCATTTATTAGAATTACCTTAACTGATACCCCCAAATAGTAAAAAGATAATTCTTTTTTTTTTTCCATTTTATTTAATAGGTCACTGACTTTGGATTTGCCAAAAGGGTGAAGGGCAGAACCTGGACCCTTTGTGGAACCCCTGAATACCTGGCTCCTGAGATCATCCTCAGCAAGGTACATTTTATTAGGAAATCTTATACGGTCAGCAACCTAATGTATACGTCATCCTGAATTTCTTCAAATCCAGTATAATTTTAAAAATTAATTGACAAGGAATGTTTGCTATGATTTCTCTAGTTCTAACTTACTAATTTAAATCTACAATTTCTGCATTAACTACTAAAAATTGCCTGTTTAGGGCCTCCCATTGCTCCCACAACTTTAGTTAATTGCTACCCTCGTTGTTAAGGAGATAGTATAAATAAACCCCTGGTTATGAAACTAGATGAATAATCCAGTGCTTATTATTTCTAGTAATGGGGAAATCATTGGAATAAGGTCCCCCAAACACAGACATATTGACAAAAGGTGCATATTAGTCACCAGTTCATCCTGTCTATTTAAGTTACCAGTTAAGCTGCAGATACAGACATCCACTCATGCATGAAACTTTTTATTAGGATATCTTTCAGCATAGTAAGAACCCCACAATTATGATATACATGCAGACTCGACTGGAAGGATTCTAATACACCCAGCAGCTCATTGCAGCACCAACATCCAGAAATAATAGTTTCCACTTTCATCTTATTTTCTTCAATTCAAGGTAGCTTAGACTATAGGGAGGAGGAGAAGGGATTTGAATAGATTCATTCAATTATATCATTCTTGATGACAGAACAAAAGAACTGGAAAGAGCTCAGCTTACTGATTCCTAACACAGTCAGGTATTTCTATTATACAAGGTGACTGTTGAGAAAGCATCATTGCACAGGATTATTCATCTTGGAGCACTCCCCAGGCCAACCAAATAATGGTATTGTAGTGTGCTTCATATTTAGAATGAGTAAATAGTTTTATTATACAAATTATTTCATTGTGTTATTTTCTTTAATGGCATTCTACTTACCTTAAAATAATCCATTTTCAAAGTGACTAAGAACTATGATAATAAGCTTGAGTATGAATGTACATTGTTTTGATATTTTATTTTGAATACTTATGTTTGTTCGTTAGTGCTTTAAAAACAAATTATTTTCCTAGAAATTTTTAATATTAATATAAATTAATTATACACCTTTTGCGCTCTAATGAACTTAATATATGAATTGAAGCCAGGAGAGCGTAAATCATGACAAAGTGACTTAATTACTTAAAGGATCTGTGATTTGGTTAGTGCAGGCACTACCTTCACTAAGGCAGATCACAACCCCTGTATAACTCAGTAGATGGTCTTCGAGAATTGCTGTGACCAAAAAGTTCATCACTGTTTCCCAACATGGTGATGAATGACTGTTTCCCAACTTATCAAGATTAGTCCTTAGACAAGAGAGGCCAGACCCAAATTTTCAAAGCTTTGTGAGCTTGGTGTAGGATCTGCTAGAGCTTGTGTTCCCCTGGCATAGCCTGTGAGAACCCAGGGCCCACTCCTTGCCACCATGTGGCAGTGGGGTAGGATTTTAGTGGAGGATGAGAATGATATGCACTTCAATAAGTGCATGACGTCCATATGTAGGCGATTAGGCATCCCATTAAATGTCTGTTTTCCAAAAGTTTAGACTGTGATTAAGTGACCTTGGCACATTAATCCTTCAAAGTTCTAGTAACTTAGAAGGTAATTCCACGAATCTTCCTGATGTCCCAGAGCTACCGTTTTATTTGAAGCTCCTGGTTATAATGTAGGTTTGGATTGTGGGTGCTCAAAAACTCAGTGGCTTACATTTATATAGTGTTTTCCAGATACAAAGCGTTTTTGCATGCATTGATAGAATTGCAGAGTTGGACCTCTGAGGTCATATAGTTCAAATGCTACCCAAGCCTGAATTCTGTCTACAACATCCCTGGCAAATGGTCATCCAGCCCCTGCTTGAAGACCGCCACTGACTGAGAACTCATTACCTACAGAAACGGCCAATTTCATTTGGAGGTAGCTCTAATTGTTAGGACGTTTTTCCTTATATTAAGTCAAAATCTGCCTCTCTGTAACTTCCATCCCTTGGTTCTAGTTCTGTCCTCCAGATCCAAGACGGGCAGGTCAGACCCCTAATGGTGGAGACTTGAGATTTTACAATAAAGTAATCATGCACCCTTTGAATCTTCTCTTCTCCAAGCTAAATCCCCAGTTCCTCCAACCAATCCTCATTTGGCATGCTTTGGAGTTCCTTTACCATCCTGAATGCCCTCTCTGGACCCAGCTTGTCAATGCCATTCTTAAAATGCAGCACATAGAACCAGACATACCCAGTACTCCAGATGGGCTCCAACTAAAGCAGAGTGCAGAAAGGCAACATATAGTGTACCTCCCTCACTCTGGATGCCATTAATGTAGCCTGAGATTACTTAAGCTTTTTTTGGTTTCCTCATCAAACTATTGGTTCACATGGAGTTTGCAGTCCACTAAACCCTCAATGGTTTTTTTTTTTCTTCAAATGGACTGCTTTGTAGTTATGGATACTCTATCCTATACTTGTATAGTTGATTTTTTGAACCTTTTAGAACTCATCCCTGTTAAATTTCAGCTTGATAATTTCAACCCACTATTCCACCTATTGAAATCTTTTTGGATTCTGATTCTGCTATCCATTGTATTAGCTAGCTTCAAACTCCAGTTTTATGTCACATTCAAATTTGGTAAGCCTTTCATTTGTACTTTTATCTTTATTACTGATAACAAATATTTAACCAAGCCAAAGAGAGGGCCCTGTGCCACTGCTAGAAACACTATTTGCAGTTGGCCATTTGGGCAGTACTGAATCTACCCCCCTATACATCGATCCTCAAGGAAATTGTAAAATACTTTGCCATTTGTCTTACCCAAAATCAGATATACAGATATCTCAATATCTCCATACCCAAATCCAGCTTTGGCTAAGACAAGTGGTAAAGTGTCTTCTGCTCTAGTAACTCTCTCTAATAATGAAAAGAAATTAGTTTGGTATAACATGTTCTTCACAAACCCATGATAGCTTAGAGTGCTAACCTCATCTCTTTCTGAGGATGCACAAACTGTCCTTTGTTCTAATTTTCAAAAACAGGAAAAAAGTGAATCCTTTAAGCTCTGGGCCAGTGAACTTGACTTTAATTACTAATGTTATCCTAGAACAACATTGACCTGATGCAAGTCCTGTGGCATACTTCCTACTTGTCAAAATTAGTTTGAATCATGATTCAATAGCCACGTGTGCAAGTTCACTTGAACTCCATGAGGGCAGCTGTAGCAATATGCTTTCTTAGCGTTTTCTCACTTATCTTGCATCTTATTTGCTTGTTAACTACTTTTGCTCTCTCCTGGACAGTCTGAAAATTATTACCCTCAGTCAAAAAAAACAAAGGAGCAAAATAGGCACTGAGTAGTTCTGCCTTCTTTCTTCATTTGCTATCATCGTCCCCCAAGCATAAGCCCTTATATTTGCTTTAATCTTTCTCTCGTCTCCAACAAAACTTTAAAAAAACCCTATTTTCTTTAGCATTTATTACAAACCTTAGCTCAAATCAGGCTATAAGTTCTCTACTACTGTTCTCACAAGATTTCACCATTCTTCCTTTTATAACTCTACCATTATGTGCCCATCTTCCATATCTTGAATTTGTCCTTTATGTACTGAGATCAACCCTGCACTCCTCACACAAGTACATCATGCTCCTTAGACACTCCTCCCATTTCTTCCTTATGGTAATTATAGTAATCATAAATTCTTTCAAAGAAGGAAATCATTTGTCATTGGGCATCAGGATTTCATTTCAGAAAGCCTCCAGGTTTTCTTGAATTGACTTCCCTTTTAGCACCTCAGGCCAAAGAATCCTGATTTCTGCCATTTTCACTTCCCCCATCATTTTCTTCTTTTTAGGCAGAATCAGATAGACATTAGCAGTTCCCTTTGCCTTTCTCTTCTTCTGCAGAATTATCAGCAAAAAAAGAAAGTCAAGAACTGCTTAACTCTTAGTAGAGAAAGATCACTTGTAGATTTTCCTTCAAGGTCCAATTCAGGTGCCACCCAGCTGTGAAAGCTTTTCTTCAATTGTATTTGGGCACGGAGTAGGAGGAGGAAATCAACATATAAATAAACAAAAGGAAATCTGAAAAGGAAAAGAACTATAGCAACTGGTGTACTGGAGAGGGATCAGGGAAGGCTCCTTTTTTTGCTGGTGTTCTTTATATACACTCTTTCCTTGGTGAAGAATCCTCTTTCCCCATATCATTTTCTTAGCCACATAATCACTTCCCAGATATTTCTGAAGTCCTTGGTAGTCATCATAGAAACACCACCTGGGCTCCTAAGTCCAGCACCTTCCTCCTGAAGTCTTCATAATCTTGGGAAATTCTTCTGAGGGTCTCTCTGGTGATATCATTTTTTCTTATGTGAGTTATCAGAAGGGTAGCAGTCCTTGGGTTTGACAGTGGGAAGTTCCCTTGAAACATCTTGAATATGCACTCTGAGAATAATCACAACAAAAGTAACATTTATAAAGGTCTGAAAAAAAACACTCTATATACATTCTCTTCCTTGCTCCTCATAACAGTCTTGTGAGGTAGGTAGGGCAAGTATTGTGCCCATTTCACAGATGAGGAAACTGAGTTTCAGTGAGGTTAAGTGACTTCTTCATAATCACATAGCTAGTAAATGGTGGAGCTGGGACTCAAATTCAAGTCTTTTGACTCCAAATCCAGTGGGGTTTTTTTCCACTATACCATGCTGCCTTTTAAGAGGTCATTTGATCCATCTCCCTGCCTGAAGGGGGGACAGCATCTTTTTGAGATTGGCTGTTTATTGTATTATTGATGTTCTTTGGTAAATATTTTACAAGTTTCTTTAACAGCCTGTTTCAATTTTTACCAGTTACTAGTTTCCAGAATTCTCCCCTTTATTTAACCTGAATTTGTTCTGTTATAGTTTCCTCTCCTGCCCTCAATAGCTGCTTAGTAACTGCTATGATATTCTTCCATGTGCTTGAAGATCATTATACAATCATTAACCTTCCCCCAGGCCCCATTTAATTTTAGGAAATGAAACAGTAATTGACCTTCAATACTGGTTTATCTCAGGGATACAACAAGGCTGTGGACTGGTGGGCCCTGGGAGTGCTGATCTATGAGATGACTGCTGGTTATCCCCCTTTCTTTGCTGACCAGCCCATTCAGATCTACGAAAAGATCATTTCTGGAAAGGTGAGCAGAGATTGTTATTCCACCACATCCCCCACCCCCCTTGCTATTGATGAATTCCCAAAGTATAATTTAAAAAAGAATTCAAGTCAATAAAAATTTCAGCAAATTCCAATATCCAGTTGATTGACCAATCTAGTCAATGAGTCTGCCACTGAATCAGTCATGCTCTACCAATCACTTCATTACTCTGCAATAATACGATGATATGAGGGAATCAGATAAGGACAATGGGTACCTTTATATTGCAATACTGCATTTACAGACCACTGTTTGTTTCAGGGGTAGATTTAAGGTCATGTCTTTGTATGTCTTCATGTATACAACCTTTGGGGAAGAAGTGTCCCGAGGGGGAAATGTAGAGAAAAAGTGTAGAATATATATTTCAACACGTGAGTTCTGTGTGTAGGTCCGTTTCCCCTCCCACTTCAGCTCCGAACTCAAGGACCTCCTGAGGAACCTGCTCCAGGTTGACCTGACCAAACGTTTCGGGAACCTGAAGAATGGTGTCGGTGACATCAAGCACCACCGCTGGTTTTCTGCCATTGACTGGATTGCCGTTTTTCAGAGAAAAGTAAGCCTGCTTGTCTCTTCTCAATTTAAATAACTGAAAATGAATGATTGGTGCTCCAGTTCCAGAGCGTCAATATGAGTGGAACCCCAAGTAAACATCAAAATGCACCATTTAGATTTCACACAGTGATTTTCAGAATTATTTATCAATTTCATTCCCAGTAAAGCAGGGATGATAATACTTATATTATTTACCTAACAGGATTGCTTCTTGTAAGGAAAATTATTTATAAACCTTAAGATACTTTAAAATGCATTGTTATGGTTAGGACTAATAATCATTCTGTGTATCACTTAAGGCACACAGCCTAAATTATTTCTCTCCCTGAGGAAGGAAAAGGACATGTTCCCTATTTTGACTATAATTTTGAAGTAATTTTCCTGACACTGGGTCTTAACCCTTAATCATTCTTTTATCCCCAAATGGTCATTTTTCAAGCACAGCTCTATGTCCGGCATGTGTGCAACATACTTCTTGCCTCCAAGATTTGGCATTCCCAAATGGATAATATTAATGTGGGCATGTAGCTACATTTTTATGGAGACATTTTGAAAGCTAATAAATTCACCCAGCCAAAAATGAGAGAATCCTCATTTCCCGTTCATCACATGGAAGAGCTCAAGTTCCCCCCTGGTCTTCTTTGGAAGAAGGATTCTTGGGTTCTTTGAATTAAGAGATTACCGTGTACAGAATCTAAGACCAGTAAAATAAATCTGATAGTCTCTTTTTTAGATATATAGTATTAAATGCAAAAAGAAGTTCTTATGATACTGTGATATTCCCAGACAGGATGGGCAGGTGGAAGGAAAAACTTTGCACCTGACTGAAGACTTTTTTGCTAAACAAATTTTTAGTTATAAATTTCTGACTGGGACAATACACAATGTAAACACAAACAAGGTTGAGTGTACTCCTAAAAAACATAATGAAACAGAAAACCAAACCCCAAATCTAACAATAGTTTATAAAAAGAAACTGGGGTTTTTTTCTACTCCAATTGACAGTACAGTAGTTGTGATAATCAGTAATGTATTAATTACTGTGAGACAGGATGCGATTAACACATCACCATACTCTTTGTATTAAATGGAGGCATTTATGAAAAGTTTTCACTGGGCTGATTCATAATTATCTGCTCTTTGGCTTTTTAAATGCCCATTGAAAAATAATTTGTATGCAGCAGTTTCATCTAAAATGTGCCTGCTCTGTCTTCCCCCATGGAGTTTGTTTTTTATATCTTTAAAGACAGGGTTTTTTTTCATATTTTTGAGATATTCAGGAATTAGTAAAGCCATGTAGCCTTGTGAGTATATCTCTTTTGGGAGAAAATTTAAGGAATCATCTAAATGTGAGCTGGTTTTGTGCTAGTTATGTCATTTTTAAAGGATTATGAACTATTTTGTATTTAGATAATTTGCATTTTAGTATAATTGGTTTCCTCTGTAATACAATATATTTCATTTTATGCATTTAAAAGCATTATTCTGATAAAGGGTCCATGGGGATCACCATACTGTCAAAGGGGTTAGGAATCCCTGCTTAGTTGCCATTTATTTTTCACATTCTTCCTTTGCATTGGCACAGAAGAAAGGAAGGTTCTTTCCAGTCTTAAGAATGTACAACCTTCAAGCACCTACTCTGTCTTCTCACTTTTTTCTTTGCTTGTCTGATCATAGGTGGAAGCTCCGTTTGTCCCCCGCTACCGAGGCGCTGGCGATACCAGCAACTTCGATGATTATGAAGAAGAGGACATCCGTGTTTCTCTTACCGAGAAATGTGCAAAGGAATTTGCCGATTTTTAGAGTGAGTCGAGCAGATCTCACCACTTTGCACCGTGTTATGAGAAAAGGCGAAGCTGAATATCATCATGTAACAAAAGTGATACTATCTCGTTCCTTCATTCCACACACCTAAGTGAAGTCATCATCATGCGTGCAATCATGAAAACCCAGATTACTTAGGCACAGGGCCGGCCAAGGGTATTATTTTTCCTTTGCCCCCCCCCCTTCTTTTGTCCTTCTCTTTGGATTCTATAATTTTACTCCTTCCCTTTTCAAATTACAAAGTTCCGCCCTCTTCTCCCCCCCCCACCCCGCAGTAATGACCTATTTTATTTTGATCAGTTTGGTGTTCAGAAATGGGAGATGGTACAGCTAGCAGTATTTTGATGGAAGAAAAGGAGAGAGAGAAGTATTTCTTCATATCTGAACCAGTCAGTCCCTTTTATCTATAATCCCAAGATATGGTTTCTAATGATTATATTAATTTTTTTTATCTTTCCTAATTCAAACTATCCCAAATTATTGGCGATTTCAAAAGACAAAATTTCCCAATGTTAAGTAAATTTTTGCAAAATTAACCTAAAACAAAACAAAACAAAGCAAAACAAACAAACAAACAAACAAAATGATCCTTCTGGAAACTAAAACTAAATTAGGCAATAAATTGGCATCAAGTCAGGGGTGGCCGGTCCCTGTGCCTTGGTTTTCTGTGATCAGTAAATTCTTTCATCTCTGCCTTCTGTTGTAATTCTTGCGTGTGCGTTGTTCTGTAAATTATGAGTACCCTGCGCAATGGGAAGCATGTGATCTCATGCAGCAGGAGAATTTCTTAATGGTCTTGACTGTAAACCAGTTTCATTCATATAGGTAACAGCATCGCCTGTCTATATTCAATATAATTAATGGTTTCAGTATTGTAAACAGCGCATGAGTATTTAAGTGATTATTGTCGAGGGTCATAAAAATAATCCCTCACTTTAAACCTTTTCGCTTTTAAAAAGGAAAAATTTGCTTCATTGTAAAAGGGCATCTGTGTGGTGAGAATGCTTGGCCCTGCTAGGAGAAAAAAAATATATATATAGTTAATTAAGTGGCTTCGCTATTGCAATTTGTATTTATGAATGCACTGCTAGCTGCTTGCGGCTATTTATTTTTTGTTTTTAGTGATTTTGACTTAGAGCATTTTTGCCATGTTTTTTTTTTTTTTCTGGTGTACTTATATTAGTAAGCTGAAGATTGAGTACTGCATCAATCATTTTCAATTTGATATAACAAGGAAAGGAGAAACAATGTCTACCAAAACTGCCACAATTTAATTTAATTTTAAAGGTGCGCTCTTTTTCTTTTCCAAACAAAATCCTCTCTTAAGTTTGTAATCAATTTTTAGTTTCCGGTGAGCCAGAAGTTACGATCACGTAACTGCAGCATAATTTTAAGCTTTTGGGCGTAGTGATGTTTTGTACATTCTCACCAAATGACTTATTAATTAAAATCATGCTGCCAAGTGCTGGCTTTGGGCGCTCTTTTTTCTTTTCCGATTTTCCAAAATTCTACGGCTCAGCACATTTTTTTTTTTCCTTTCAAACATCCATCTGGTACTCGTTTTTACACTTCTGGATCTTTCAGTGACCTATCTTCACACAGCACACCTTCACAGTTTAGGATTCTGGGGCATAATTGCAGATCAATATCACAACACAAACTTCACAGGATGATCGTTTTTACAAAAAAATGATCTTTATTGATATACAACCGCTATATCTACTCCAAGGTTTCATAGGTCACTGAAATGATTTCCTTTTAATCTGCTTACTACTCCTTTCTGAAAAAAAAAAAGACCGTTTATACTCATTTTAAAATTATATTTGAAAGGTACTCTTTCTCCAGCTTCCAATATAACACCAGATCCTGGAGCATCTTAGTACCAGCAATGTTGCTAAGATGCTGACACCGATTTTCAGTATTGGTATACTCATTTTCACCCATGTGCAAGATAAGTGTTAAATAATTTGCTGTATCAGAATTTAAGTAAAAAAGATTTACCATCCCATCAACAAATTTGAAAATTATTTGTAAGAAAAGGTTTAAATTTTTTGTATTTCATTTAGCTCCAGAACATGCTTTGTTGTACGCTAGCTGTATGCGATAAAATATATAGTAACTTTGATGTTGTTTAAAGTTTTAAATAAATGCTATCTATGTATCGCAATTTGTCTCTGTTGTGCTTTTATTTGTCTGATTGATTTTCTTTGTGGTACAAACATGCTCTGTCCTTTAAAAGGAAAAGTTCCTGGAAAGATTTTTTGGGGGGGAGGCAGGGCAAATAGCCTAATAAAGTAATTTAAATCTACATGTATTTTTAAGGTGGAAATTGAGCCCCAATAGACATAAGTTTTAAGGGTGATTTATTCCATTTTATTCTACAATTCAAATTGTATCAACAAACTCTTGGATATGGAAGGAGATCCATTTTTGATTTATTCATCACACTGAGCAAGAAAATTTGAATTTGGTTCCAGATGCAATTCCCATTACTTCAGTAGGCATATTGAACATATAAAACATTTCAAGCCCCACTTTTGGCCAAAGAGCAATGGTATGAATTTGAGTGAAAATGGTTTTCATGTATTAGTATTTAGCATTAGTTGAAACTCTTCACAGTTGAAGAAAGTGTGCTTTTGCCCAATTGAGAGCAGGAAGGGAACATGATGAAATGGGAAGACTGGACAAGGAGTCAGACATCTGAGATGAACACATGTAAGCTCTGCAACTAACCAGTTTTGTGGCCCTAGATTTCACTTAACCTCTTTTAGGTCTCCATTTCCTCAGCTATAAAATGAGAAAGAAGGACTAAATGATCTCCAAAGTTCCCTTTAACTCATAAAATTCTAGAATGATGGTCATGGGTTAGATTCTTTCAGATTTGAAATCAAGTTCTTGGAAAGAACATTTGAATTAATTGATGCTCTTGAACTTAAATATCTCCCTTCCAATGTCAGGTTTTGTATGCCATTAGGTACACTGCCTTTTCTATCATGCAAAACTACTGGGCAAAGAAATTCATGTGTAACCCATAGACTTCTTTCCTAAGTCTGAACTTCATTAACTACCACAGATAACTTGAGTTAATTTATCAGTATTTCTGGCTCTTTATGCTCCTCACCCACACTTTACCGTGAAGGAATCTCCAAAAATAGCTTTGAGTCTAGGTCACTACAGATTTGGGTAAAAAGAGCGTCCCAGATCTCATACTCAAGGAAACAGTGTCTTTATTCTACTCCAGGGAAAAATGCAGAAGACTCAAGAGCAATAATAGAGAGGACTTAAAATAACCCATAAACAATTAAGACAATTCTTCTCAAATTCTCTCAGCTCAGAGCCACCATGTTGTTTGGACTCCTCTTGGCAGGGGAAACACTTGGGGTTCCTAGATGGACAACCACTGCCTGATACTCAGATGCAAATTGAATAGCTCATTTTAATAGCATAATGCAAATTCCAGATTCCTAGTTCCTCCTCACCAAGGATTGAGCCATCCTCTTGGCTTCTCATTCCAATGACAAATAACACATGCCTTTTCAAAAGAGCACCAACGGTGGTATTACTTGAATGATTCCTCTTCTCTTAATCAAAAGCCAGGATTAGTTACAAGACACACCCCAAGACAAGCTCTGCTCAGAAAATTCTTCATTCACTACAAGGCTAGATTTGGGGATTATTAAACTAGAAAACCCCCCTTCTCTGGTGAGAAGGACAACTTCTGGGATTCTTGAACTTGGGGCTGCTAGAGGCAACCCTCAGGAACTCTCACCGGTAAGCCATGTGATTCCCCCTCTCAATGGTTGCCACTTGTTTGAAAGACTGTGTTTCCATGACTGGGGCCAGGAATTCTCTCAATACAAGGTTAATGCTGGCCAAGAGATCCCTTTTCTCACTAGAAAAATGGAATTTGTGGTCACATCCTTTGGGAAAAATTTGTCTTTCTAGAGGGACTCCAAGGTCTAGAAAGCTAGATTCCAGAATTGTTGAACTTTGGGATGCAAAACAATCAATCCTTAGAAATTCCCAACACTAGGTCATGGTGTTCTCTCTCTATGATTGCGACATTGAGGAGAAATTGTATCAGTTCCTCTCAAAGGTGATTAACACATTAAAATATGGTTGAGAGCCCAAGAATTCCACTGAACTGGTTGAATGTTACACAATTTACTTCCACTGATGGTGCATTTCAGTGGAATTCTTGGGCTTGCAACCATATTTTAAAGTGTTAATCATCATAGCTATGGATGAACATGGCCTATGGGATAGTGCTTTTGAATCCAAATTAGATATCCCTGCCTACTAGTAGTACTTTAACTCATAGTTGGTTAATACTGTGATTAATCTCTCACAAGTAGCTTTCAGTTTAGCACTGGTCAGAACATATCAGTGAGTTATCTGTCCAAATTAGAATTAGAGTATAGACAGTCTCAGAATTTATCAGTAACATCTCACTTCAAAGTCAGAAACTCCAATTTGTAAATGAGACAATATCAGGTCTCATTGTCAGTAAAGAAATTGTCAGTAAATCTTTGTAGAAACTGAAATGGGCTACTGGCAGCCATTGCTTTCCTGTGTAAATCTACCCTAATGTCCTCTGGTACTGGCTTCAGCGCAAAACACGAATGGCTACTTGGATCTGTGCAAGACTACACTGTAATATGCACCATATCATTGACCAAATCCTTGACTTGCTCACATTTCTCCCCCTGATAATTTCAAATTGTGTCTAAGAGTTCAGGTCAGATTGCACCTTTTGTTAAGTTCTTCTGGGCCATTTATCCATGGATGACATAATTGAGAGCCTTAGCAATAATAGCTCATGGCTTTACAAATTTCCAATAGTTACCAAAGCCCATAACCATCTTTAGCTCTTTAAAATTCTTGGGGCAAAACCACGTGGTATGTGCTGCTATCTTTTCTATGTCATTCCCCACAAAGATACTAGGCATCTATGTGCTATATACTTGACATAAGTTGCACACAGTGGTGCCATTTGTTAATCGATAGTTTTCAGACCAGAGCTTCCTAGCCAGTCTGACATTTTAAATGACCTTTTCTAATGTTTTTTCTAATGCCTTTCTAAATTCTAGAGGATCATCTTATTATATCAGGTTACTCATATCACCAACTACTTTCTCCATAAGCAATTAAAAAATGGCAAGGGTTCGAGAAATGCTTTGGGGTGTTCATTGAAATTGGTAGAATCCTATTGGCCATCTTATTTATATCTTCTGTAGAATTCTGGTAATATCCAGTGCACAAGTCCAATGCTGAGAATATGAGCTACCTAGCAGATAGTTTAGAGTATCTTGAACTCATGGTCCATCTTGGTTATTTTTTTTCATTTAATAATTCATTTTAGTCTGGATCTTCCCAGTTTTCTTCTATTCCATCTCTGCAAGTAGTGTCTATGGTGAGACTACATGATGATGACATTGACCATCAGTTCCTTTGGGCTGGTTTCTAAAATTCTCCATCTCAGAGAGGGTAGTTTTCCAAGATCACTTGCAGGGAAGAGAATCTTTGAGCTGGATGATATTCATCGATTCTTAAGCATATCTAACATCTTGTTCATGCGAGACTTAGGCTGGGTTTCCTCCTCAGACGGATCCTCCTCAGAGGCAATGTTGGAGATTCACTGAAATCATATCTGTCCAAACCCATCTATGATGTTGAAAGATCTATGCTGGGGTGTGCAGAAACCAGCTCAAAATAACTCCTGTGAGTCAGTTGTTAAAATTTTAATGTGAGCATTTATACCTCAGAAATCAGCAAATATTAAAAAATTAGGGCTTGGTTTACTGTTTCTTTGATTTCTAGACTTAAGAAGTGATAAAGAGAATGTTAATAATACAGATGAAGCTTACAAGTGTGTCCTCCATCCATTTCTCCCTCTCTCCCCTGTAAAGCCTCTTATTAAACATTTAACAGCATGATTCTGGGCCCATAATTCTTTGATGGTTACCACTTGCTTCTACCTCTTGACTAGCTTCCTAATCAGTGACATATATTGTCGGGGAGGTCTAAGTATTGAACCCCTAATGGCTCTTTTCAATACTCTGCTGGTGCTTTGAACAGGCTGAAATTCATTCCAATCAACGCTGACCCTCCAGAGATATTCTCTGGATCCATACACACTGGAGTCATCTTATCCACCTTCCTTTTGCCAATACTCGCAACTTCCCTAGGGAATTTCTAGGTCACACTAATTTAACCAAAATATTGACATTCTTCTCACTCAATCCATGGATGATTACCTCCTGCATAGGCTAAGGCAAAAGTTGAATGTATTCTTCATAAAATTACTGAAGTATAATTGTTATTTGGGTTCTTCTGTCCAACTCAGCTAAACATTCTATATTGCTACATAGGGTCCCAAGAGTCAACATGGGAAGGACTCAAGAAAGATTGATGGGGAAGAGATTAGGTTCTCCAGAATCCGTGACAGCTGCCCTTTGACTCTCTCTATATTTTTATGCCAATCTATTGGACATTAACTTCATAAACTCATAGAACTGAAAGGCACTTTAAATCCATTGAGTCCAATTCTTTCAATTTATAGATGAGGAAAGTGAGGTACATGTAAGTTCAGTAAGTTAAGAGTTGCCAAGAGTTGCATAGTAAACACCCGAGATTGGATTTGACTCCAAGCCTTGTGCCCTATTCACTATGCCGTATCTTTGTCGTGTCTCTTAATTTGGTATTCTTCTCATGAATACACCAAGCGTGCAAGTGTTTAATCCACAGCAAACTAACAAAGCATACTGCTACCTTTTGGGTTATGGTCCTTTCAGTGCTATGCTGAAAAATGGGCTGCTTTGATTTCTGGTGTCATACTCCTTTGTCCCTAAAGGGAGAGTGACTCTGCTCACTATGACATCTTCTTTTAGTCTTGCCCCAAGCTTCTGCAGTAGAATCTAGTTGATCTAAAATAATCTCTTATTTAGTCTTGGAAATTCATACCTGAGGAAGATCTTGAAGCTAGTCGGGATCAGTTGTTTCCATTGTCTACCTGTCCATTATCCTTGTTGCAAATGTCTTCACCACAGTTCTAAGTAACTGAGAGATCGTCCTTGCTGTTCATTCAAGGACAGGTGCCCCCATATAGTCTTGTCACCTACCAATACTTTGTCCATTTGGATCATTGTGACAGCCTTTCCAAATGGA